CGGGTCGGGGCACAGCGAGCGGATCAAACCCCAGAACCGGGCTCCGCTCACCTCGGCCCGCGGGCAGCGCAGCCCCAGCACCGGGCGCTTGGGGTGCTCCTGCCGGGGCTTCCGCACCGCGCCCGACACCCGCAGGTACTCGCGGACGTGGCGCGCCTCGCCGAACGGCACCTGCGGGGATGGAGGGGTCAGGGGGGGATGGAGAGTGAGGGACAACGGGGACAGACAGCGAGGGACACCCCCAGAGTGATCCCAGAGTGACCCATGGGATAGAGAGTGAGGGACAACGGGGACACATCCCGGGACACATCCCGGACAGCCACAGAGTGACCCCAGAGTGACCCATGGGATAGAGAGTGAGGGACAACAGGGACACCCCCGGGACATCCCCCGGACAGCCCCAGAGTGACCCCAGAGTGACCCCAGAGTGACCCATGGGACAGACAGCGAGGGACAACGGGGACACAGCCCGGGACAGCCCCCGGACACCCCCAGAGTGATCCCAGAGTGACCCCAGAGTGACCCATGGGACAGACAGTGAGGGACATGGGGACAGAGAGCAAGGGATAACGGGGACACCCCCGGGACACCCCCCGGACAGACCCAGAGTGACCCCAGAGTGACCCATGGGATACAGCCACCGAGGGACCCGGGGACACCCTCCGGACACCCCCCGGGACACCTCCCGAGCCCAGAGTGACCCCCGCACACCCCCCGGGACACCCCCAGAGTGACCCCCGGGCGCTGAGATCCCACGGGATGGGCGGGGATTCCCTGGGGACCCCCGTGGGCAATCCCAGCACTCCCCCCGTGCCTCAGTTTCCCTCCCCCGGGGCTGGGAATGGACTGGGACCCCTGGACACCCCCCGTGCCTCAGTTTCCCCACTGTGACACCCCACAGGACACACCGGGACCCCTGCAGACCCCCCAAAATCCCCCCAAATCCCGGTTTTTCTGCTCTGGTGCCCTGTGGGACGGAGCGAGCCCCCCCAGCCCGGTACCCCCGGTGCCCCCGCGCCCCCCGGTGCCGCTGACCCCGGTCTGGGCCATGCCGAAGGGCCCGGGGTTCATGCCGAGGAACAGCACGGCTTTGGGGCCGCGGCAGTAGCGGCGCACGAAGCGGCGGTGCGGGAGCCACGCGTACTCGAGCGGGGCGTACACGAGGGACACGGGGGGCCCGGGGGGCGGCAGCGCCCGCAGCTGCTCGGACAGAGCCCGCTCCAGGGCCAGGAACCGCTCGGCCACGGCTGCGTCCTCATCATCGTCATCATTGTCATCATCATCATCGT